AGTTTGTTGTTGTTGTTAAGTGCCACTGAGTCGTAGGCGATTTATAGTGACCCTATGAATGAAAGATTTGAACACTTGTATAACTTTCATGCTTTCTCCAGGTTCATAGGGTTTCTGGAGGCAATCTATTATGGAAGTGGATGCCACTCCTGCTTCCGAGCTTGTTTTAATTGGGGAGCACCACCAAACACTGTCCACCATGGGTAACCATTATCACATTTAACACATCAGTGTCACAGTGTTTAGCTCACAGCGACCACAAGTTACCTCTGTACAGCAAGTGGACACACTAGGGCTATATGACCTAGAAGAAGTTTGACCAAAATCAATTAAAAACAGGCCTGAGGGCCGTCGATTAAAGTCACAAACCTTTGGCTTGGTAGCATCCCTTTCTGTCTACTAGGCCTTTTAAAATTTATGTATGAAAAAACAGAGAAGATAGAGAAGGACTATAAATTATAAAACTATTACCAACTCCATTACATTAATTAAGATATACACACAGAATGATATGGACCTGGATGGTACAAATGAAGTGATAATTTGGAGTAGATATTTCCTATCTGTGCCCCAAATTATAATTAGTATTTAGATGGGTTATAGCAAGAAAGGTTAATAACAACTGCATTATTGTAATATCTCTAAGAACATGAGAGAATACATTTGTGTAATATAAAAGGATCAAAAAATATTTGATTTTAATATCCACTATTATTTAATAGTATTACAAATAACAGTAATAAGATAGCTTTAGATAAGAGACAGGAGGTGAACATTATGGCCAGATCCTAAAAATTAGTTTTAGAAATCAACAGCATGAAGATAGCAGTTGTATCTCTAACAGCAAATCAATGGCAAAGGGAGACAAGGCTAAGAAAGGACTGCTGAACTCTCAAGCCTCTAAGAAAATCACAGACACAATTTAGGACAGTAGCTGTCTCTGCTCCTACTAGAATAACTTCTTTACAGACTCTGGTTACATCTTTTCTCCCTTTGGCTCTTACATAATACAGCTCTACCCAAGTTTCTCTTGAAGTGGCTCAGGACATACAGAGCCTATCCACCCGCCACACTGCACAAGATTCCACAAGGATATTCCATAAAGCAGATGGCATGAGGAAAGGTTTCTATTAACAATATAATAATCTATATGTTTCAAACATCAATGGTTTTCCAACAACATAATTACATTTAAATTAAAAAGATTTTTTATTTTTCTATTTATTACAAAGATAGATTTATTCAAGTTTTACTCATATGCACATTGCATTGGGAAAAGTCTGCTGTCAGGAAGAGTAACCAAGTCAGTATGAAGACTAAGGTGAACCTGATGCAAGCCATGATCTTCACAATCACTTGCTATTCATGTGAGAGCTGGACAATAACCATGGATAACATAAGAAGAATCGATGCCTTTGAGTTGTAGTGTTAGAGAAGAGTGTTGAGCATAACATGAACTGTGAGGAGAACAAAAAGTCTGTCTTGGAGAGGGTGACATCAAGCTGCTCCCTGGATTTTTTTTTTAATGTTTAACAATTTAAAGTTTTATGAGCTCCAAAAACATCTATTTTAATCTCTCCGCAGAAATTATTCCCTACATCTTATTCCCAGCCCCTACCCAGAAATTAATTTTGAATATTTGTATGAGAGTCATCTCTTTCTCCATCTCACATACTCTTCAGGGCATGTGACGAGGAGGGACCAGTCCTTGGAGAGGAACATCATGCTTGGAAGGGTGGACGGACAGTGCAGGTAAGGAAGACACAGGATGAGATGGATTGATTCAGTGACTACAGAAATGTGATTAGGTGTGTTGGAGATGGTAAGATTGGCTCAGAATTAGGGCAGGGTTCAGAGCTAATGCACATTAAGAACTGCATTTTGCAGCAGAAAGCAGAAGTTTCTATATCTGAGATAATGATGAATTAACAATTCATTATAAATTTCCACAGAGTTAGGTGGTACTGCTCTACTCATTCCTGCAATATGGCCCAGGATATGCTGTCATTTACCAAATTTTTTAAAAAATGGTATGGAAATTTGAATGACAGATTTTCTTTTTAATATTTTAAATAATTAAAAAAAATGTTTCTCAAGAATTAAGAATTGCTTTAATATTCATTCTAGCTGAAATAAGAAATACGTCTATCTATAGTCTAGTTGAAATGAGAAATAAGTCTGTCTATACAAATGTTTATACACACACACACACATACACAACCACACATACACACATACACTGAACTGAGACTGAAGAAATAAAATGGATTACCATCTGATGTGAGACAATTTCTTTTTATTTACCTCTGCTTTGAGCTCTGGTAGCTTGCTGTTCCTTATAAGATCCATCGAGTCAAGTACAACTCAGAAAGACCCTATGAATAACAGATCTGAATCCTGTCCTATCCTCCTCCTCATCATTATAATCTCTGATACACTTGAACCCACTTTTGCAGTCACCATGTCAATCTAGCTTGTTGGGGAGCTTCCTCTCTCACTGACGTGCCGCCTTTTCAAGCCTGCTATCCCTTTCCAAAGAATAGCTTCTCCTAGCGTGAGAGACAAAGCTTGGCCATCCTTGCTTCCAAGGAGAGCTCTAGCTGTACCTCCTCCAAGATATATCTGTTCTTCTGACAGTCCATGGGGAATTACATCCAATGCCACAACTCAAAGGCATCAATTTCTGTACTGCAAAACCAAGGGTAGATGATTGGAATCCACCTCCATGAGAGAAAGATGGGCAATCTCCTCCTATGTGATTTATTACCTTTGAAAACTTGCTAGAGGATCAGCTAGGGATTGGTTCAGACTTGACTGTACACAACAACAATCACCACCTTTGCTTCAGAACCAACATCTTTATCAGGGTGTGATTTTTCTTTTAGTTATTGGTATTAACATCATTATTAATTAGCGTTCTTGATTGTATGAATAGGCCATATTACTAATAATATGAATAGTGGGATAATTCCTTTATGTTGTGAATTATTTTATCTATAAAAAGGGATTCTATGTTAGCTCATTTTTATTTTCAGGGTATACTATTAAATTTTGTCCTCACTATGCAAACACTGGGCAGATTGGCAGCATCATAATAGAGAGTGAAGAGACTGAGATTGTAAATAGCTTTAGTTTGCTTGGCTCCACAATCAACACTCTTGGTACCAGCAGCCAGGAAATAACAAGACAAATTGCACTGGGAAAGTCTGCTGTCAGAGACATTTCTAAAGTACTGAAAAGCAATGATATCAGTCTGGAGAGGAAGGTGCACCTGGTCCAAGTCATGGTCTTGGCAATTACTTCCTCTGCCTCAGAAAGCTGGACAATGTTGAGGGATGATAGAAAGGGAATTGAGGCCTTTGAGCTGTGGTGCTAGAGAAGAGTATTAAATATATGGTAGACTACTAGGAGAACTGCTAGGTTCATCCTGGAGAGTCTGAAACCAGGCTGCCCCTTGGAGGTAAAGATTCTGAAGCTTTCTCTGACATATTTTGGACATGTTGCAAGGAGAGACCAGTCCTGAGACATCATGCTTGAGAGGGTTGAGGGAGAGCACAAGAGAGGAAGACTCTTGATGAGATGAATTAACTCAGTGACTGGAATAATAGGAGTAGGTATGTCAGAGACAATAAGGTTGGCTCAGGATACAGCAATATTCAGAGTTGTTTTCCATAGGGACACTATGAATCGTGACTTGATAGCATTTAACAGTAACAACAACAACAACAACAACAACAACATGTCTAATATATTTAAAAGTGTATTATGGAAAAAAGAAAAATGAGGAAAAAACTTTAAAAACTATATTATAGCAAATTTCACAAAAATGGGGAGCTCTGGTGGCCTAGTGGCAAGGACCTGCAACTACAATCCCAGAGGCGCACGGTTCGAATCCACCAGATGCTCTGCCAGGGAAGGAGGGACAGTTTCCTCCTGTACCAGTCAGTTCTGATTTGACGGTACACTCACACAAAAATAATAAAAATTTAAAAAAAAATTTCACAAAAATGATTTTAATAGATGTGGTGGTGGTGGTGTTGTTATGTGCCATTGAGTCACTTGCGACTTATGGTGACCCTATGTACAAGAGCCCTAAATGCCGTTCTATCCTGTGTCAACCTCGCCGTCTCAAACACACTCATTCTGACCACTCCACTCACAGAATAGATCAATCTCATTGAAGGTCTTCCTCTCCTTTGCTGTCCCTCCACTCTCCCAAACATGGTGTCCCTCTCCAAGGACCAATCCCTCCTTGCAACAAGCCCAAAGTATGTCAGACAGAGCTTCACAATCCTTGACTCCAAGGAGCATTTTGGCTTCACCATCTCTAGGACAAACCTGCTTGTTCTCCATGCAGTCCATGCTATATTCAACACTCTTCTCCAGCACCACAGCTCAAAGGCATCACTTCTCTATCATCCCTAGTCACTGTCCAACTCTCTGATGCATAGCACGTAACTGCGAAGACTATAGCCTGGATCAGGCGCACCTTAGTCTCCAGCCTGATGTCGTTGCTCTTCAGTACTCTTTAGAGGTCACTCACAGTTGACTTTGCCAATGCAATTCTTCTCTTGAGTTCCTAGCTGCTGTCACCAAAAGTGTTGATTGTGGAGCCAAGTAAACTAAAACTGTTAACTATCTCAATCTCTTCACCATCCATGCTGATGCTGCCAATTGGTCCACTGGTGAGAATCTTTGTTTACTTGATGTTGATCTTCAATCCATATTGAAGCCTGCAGTCTTTGACCTTCTGCAGCAAGCACTTCAGGTGTATCTACTTGAAAATAATCTGCTTTTATTTTGGTACAAAATGAAACTGCCTTATAGGGTTTCTAAGACTGTAAATCTATAGATGCAGCCTGCCACATCTTTCTCCTGCAGTGACTGGTAGATTTGAAATTCTCATTTTGGTTGGCAGTTGAGTGCTTTTACCAATGCAGCAACAGAATTTATTACATTAGTATAGAATGTAGAAAAAAGTAGATTTAATGCATACTCACTGTGGTAGTGTTGCTGGAAGGGAACGTCTAATAATTGAATGAACTTGTCTGTAAACATCCAGTTTAGACATGCAGCGGCAGGAAGTGTGATTGGCAAAACTGATGGTTACCGGTTTGGGGCCTTGAGAAAGAGGCACTGTAATTTCAAACAACTACAAAGAAGGGAAAAAAACCAAAAAATAAACATTATATAGATGTTACAAAGCACTTTTATGTTAAATGTTGGACTCCAAAAAAAGTGATGTAATTATTTATGATATAGTAAATATAATATTTATTATATATAATATATTTCTTATATGTTAATATTAAGTAAGTTTATAATAAAGTATACAGGGTTGTTTTTTATTACTATGACATTTAGACAGTTTTGCTTCTAATTAGCATTTTTATTAAAATAATTAATAGTTCATATGCCTATCTCATGTCACTAATTCTAAAATGTACTAGAATTATGATAATCAATCAACAATTACAAAAGAGAGATGTGACAAATAGGCTAATGCACCCAAATTCAATTATTTGATATTAGCATTTAAAATTTGAAAAATATTTGTGCTTTTAGCTTAGGTAATAGACTAAAGATTAAAAGGTGGCATAAGTATGGACATTTATGTTTTGTAAGAGTAAAGGTGGTGAGCTCTGGAAGTTGCACTACCATTTCAAGTCCGAATCTCTCTGGCTATTCAAATCCACCAGAGATCCCAAGGAAAAAAGATGTCAGTCTCCTCCTGTGTGATTTACAGTTTCAGAAACCCAACTGAAGGTCAGCTATGAGTCCATTTCAACTTGACAGCAAAGACAGAGAGAGAGAAAACAAGGCCATTGGCCATACAATCAAGAAACATTAGGCTAAGTAAGATTTTGTATATATAGAACACACAGAGGTGTTCAACTTAAATTTCTAATTCAACTTTGTTTTAGTCTTCTCATAGATCTTGTGAATTTAATAAATTTAAGAGAAAAATAAATAGTCATAAAATAGATAAAACTTTGTTTCTGCTATATTTAAAAAGGCATTACAAGAATGACCTAAAATGCAGCATATTTTACAATTCTGGATATGATCTTAAAATGTAGTGTTGGTTTTCCTTTTGAATTCTTAAGTCTTTTCATTTTGAAAAAAAAAAAATTGAACATAAAAGTAGTTGATGATTATGCAAAATTAAGTGAATCTTAATTATTGAGATCTTTAAAATCTAAATTAATAACAGTAAAAGTGTAATCTTTAATCATTAGCTGCTTGATAAGTTTAGTGTTTAGTTACTTAACATTACTGAATCATGCAGGATTTGGTAGCTTAATGGGCACCTTGGCAGCCTTATCCAAAATTAATATACTTCAGAGCCTTTTGACCCAGTACTTTGTGGAGATTTCTTGCCAAAGATCACCAGTCATTTTTAGGGCATATAAGTCATTTGCCAATTTAATTCACACCCACAGAGCACCTTTTAAAATTAATTTTAAACAATAAAAAACAGAAATGCCTAATTCTAAAATGCATACTCTGTTCATCTGAAATTCATTGAATATACATTTATAAAATTAGCTATTTTCTTAGCTTAAAAACAATGTGAGTCAGAAGAAATGATCACAAGATTACACTCATTAGCTACCTTATTTATGAGTTGTGTGACTTTGCCAAAGTCAATTAACTTATCAAAGCTGTATTTTTCTTTAATGATTGGTAAATCGAAGATGACATTTAACACATTACTTCCGGGGATTTTTACAAAGATTATATACAATGATTTACAGCAATGTGATATATAAATTCCATGCTAAATAGTTGTAGTATTATCATTCTTTACATACATTCTCAGGAATAATGTATTATCCAGGATATCTATTCCAACAACTCAACCTACTGATATCTCAATTCCAACTTAAAGCAACCCTCTAATTGAGTTTCCAAGGTTGCAAATCTCAGTACAATGAGACTGTATATCTTTCTCCCTTGGAGCCAGTGGTGGATTCAAATAATTGGAAAACTGCAGCCTTTTGACTGCCAATACAACATGCTACAGACTAGGCCACTGGAGCCCATAATATCAGTTTAACATAGATCACTTCAGCACATGATCTCAACATATTCCACTATTACCATATTTAACAGAGTTTGCTCCACAACAACATTTGCTTATGTCAATGTCGTCTCCTTTTAGGTTAAATATCACAGTGGGCAGGAATCTTTTGCACTATGTCTAACTATTCTAAAAGGCATATAATTCTGCTGTGTCTACATATGTCACAGTTTTTCTTATTTAATCTATGTTGGTGGTTGTCATCAGGTACCATCAAATCGTCTACTAAATAAACAACAGTCTGAACCTTGCCCTATTCTGTACCATCTCCATCGTCTCTGATGTGCTTGAGCCCATTGTTATTAGTCACTGTGTCAATCCACCTTGCTGAGTGAATGTCTTCCTTTTTTTTTTGCTGACCTTTCCTACCATGATGGCTCTCTCCAAAGACTGGTTCCCTGAAAATATTACCCAAAGTAAATGGACAAAGGATAAAACATTGACACACACCTTTCTCAGTATTAAACTATCTAGAGTTCCTTTGTTCTGTTTAGACAATTGCTTCTTGGTCTATGGGTTTCATATGAGCACAATTAAGTTTTCGGCAATTCCCACTCTTTGTAAGTATTAGCTATAAATTCATGTTCTAGAATACAAAGAGGTTTTGAAAACAAGTATTTTACAAATTGCTTGTTTAAACTCTCTATAATGGTAGGAATACATGTAAGCTCATAGAAATCAAGAACTGATGGTTGAATATCTGTGTCTAGATGATAAGATTCATTAAAAAGGTCATCACCACTTAAGTTTAATTGAAGTCTTGGAACTGATGAAATTGCTTAGTGAGTAAGAAGAGAAAAAAAAATCTAAAAATAGAAACTGAGGGCATACGAATATCTGAGATGAGAAGAGACAAGTATACCAGTAAGCAAGTCTGGAAGAAATCTAACATGAAAATAGAAAATCAGGAGAGAGTATTGTATATCCAAAGTAAGGACGCCAAAGAAGGAGACCTTTCAAAAGGTGTGTTTGCTTACAGGATCCAATGTCTCTAGGAAGTCAAATGCAGAAAGGATTAAATGGAGAAGATTGGTACCAGGCTCTCAGGACCATGGAGGGACAGGCAGCAATAGCAGCAGTGGTCAGAACCAGAACAGAACTACCATGTGGACTGGAAGGAAAAGAGTTCAAGTGGCTCAGTCATGAGGACCATTTTTGCTTACAGAATGCTTATAACCAGTGCTGGATTTGATATGTCTCAAACGGTGCAAGGCTGGACAGAGTCTCACAGTGAAAGATAAAGCTCTACATGAGATAAGTAACTTTATTGTAAAGAGTTAATGGTCTTCCCATTAAACCTTAGCAGGGTAATTTTTGTCTTTTAATAGTAACACTCCACTCTGGCTGTTTTCCAAAAGGAGAGAGAACAGACTGAACAGTTATCAGGCATTTCTAATGAACAAATAAATCAATTATTCATAAATGAATGATGTCTTCAGGAACTGAGGCTTTGAAGAATGTTCAAGAGAAATGGGAAACAGTTACAATGGAGATTTTTTAAAAAGCATTTTCTAGGACAGTTAAGCTGAGTTCTTTATTTTCAAAGAGTAAAGGGATCTGTGCTGATGAATATCCTCACTATATGAATAAATAGGCCGGTACTAAAAACAAATTAATGTTTGTTTAAATCAACAATCAGACAATATTTGTCTAAATCAACAAAAATACTGCCTTTTTTTTTGTCCCTCATTTAAATTAGAGACTTATGTAGGTATTAAAGCTACCAAACAGATTCAGGGTGGGGGAATATCCTTGAAATTTATTGAGTTAAATGAAGAAAGAGAAAATACTGATTACTAGTATTTTACTTCTCTTATTTGTATCTAAGTGAACAATTATCAAGCTGAATTCAGTCATGTTCTCTTGAAACACGTCTGCCTCGCACTCTTCATTTTAGGATATGTTATTTTAGCAGTTTCCTTAGTTCTGGACTCTGCCAATGTGGAAACATTTCGAAGTCTAGAAAATTATGACTTTAACCAATGTATCCATCTTTAGAAGAATTAAAGATATCTTCTGAGAGTATGTCCTATGTATGTGTATTAAGACATAATACAGCAGTACCTATCCCAGCTTTTGTTATACCTGTTTCTCCATTGGTTTAATGAATGCATATTAAATGACTTTCCATTTAAAATAACTAAAGTGATTATATTTTCTACATACACATGTACCTAGACATATCTAAAGGTATAGATACGGAGTCCATACTGTCTCCTACCCACACATACCTACACATACTTTGCAATTCACATGAACACACACACACACACACACACACACACTCTCTGGTGACCTAGTCTGCAGGGAGCTGCACTAACCCAAAGGTAATGCCTTTAAGGTGGTTTGCATTCACCGTGTGGCTCTGAGAGAGAAAGATGACCAAGCTCCTGTGGGATTTATAGCCTCCTGAAAACTCATAGGTCAGTCAGCTATTGTTATCACTGTGTGTTTCAGCTGTCTTTCAGAGGCAGTCAATCCCAGAGGAGGATACTGCCCATCATGGTCATGCTGAGCAGCTGGGGAATTCGAACTATGTACCTTTGGGATTACAACATAGCTTCTTACCACTAGGCCACCAAAGCTCCCTAGCCAGCTATTGTTGTTGTTATGTGCTGTCAAACTGCCTGCACACCATAGTAACCCTATGTACAGGAGCTCTGTAGCTTGCCCTTTCCTGAACCATTCTTACTGATTCCAACACACCACCCCCATTGCCCTAGTCACTGTATCAATTAATCTCATCCTGGGTCTTCCTTTCTATGCTGTCCCTCCACCATTCCAAGCATGATGTTCTTCAAGAACCGGTCCCTCCTGCCCACCCAAAGTATGTGAGATAGAGCTTCCAAATTCTAGCCTTCAGAAAGAAACTTGGTTTCACCCTCTCCAAAACAGACCTCTTTGTTTTCTTGGTGGCCCATGGCATATTCAAGACTCTTCTCCGGCACTACAATTCGAAGGCATCAAATCTTCTTCTGTCATCCTTAGTCACTGTCCAGCTCTCTGATGCATAGCAAGTAAGATCTGGATTAGGCACACCTAGTCTTTAACTGACATCTTTGCTTTTC